ACCTTTGAATTATTCGTCCAGCGATATAATCTCAGAGTCAGCACAATAATTCTAATAAATTGTTTACTCTTGGTGATCAGTCAAGAGTGTTTTATAAAGTTAAGGGGATTAACTTAGAGCTTAAGTAACTAAAGAACAGATACGTAAAGTGACTGGATGTAAGCCATAGAAAACACAGGAAACAACTGTATACACACACACAAATTTTATTACTAACTAAAACAAACAAACAAATAACAACAACAAACATAAAATATAAAATACAAACAATGATGAAAATGCTGGTTGAGAGTATGAATGTGAAAACCTAATGTGGAACAGAGTGGTGGCTTGGAGACTTAAAAGTCTTTTCACCCGAAGCAGCAGATAATCTGTTAAATTTGGAATATTGGTCGGAAGGCCAATTGTAATCATAAAACACCTGTTTAGAGACATAAGCTTGATACTTGCAGTTTCCCGGGTGCAGCAGCATCTGATGCCTGATGGAGAGACGAGGCCTTCAGCTTGAGTTGGATCAGGGTGTGGCAGTAAAGTTGCTACATTGGACCAAAGTGAGCAGCTCTACGGCAGTTAGAGAATGCCCCTAGAGAATGCCCCAAAGTAAGCATCTCGCCTGCAGTTAGAAGAAGCTACTGCTTTTCGGGTGAAGAGGCTTTTTAATAGTAAAACTACTGACCAGCTCCCAGAGGGGCTGTTAGATATGACGTCCCAGTATCACCAGGAGGTCGTGAGGTGGTCATGAGGTGGTCAGAGTTAACAATGTTACTTTAGAACTATATGTATTTGTACTGATACAAAGTTAAAACTACTGCAAATAAATCTATCATATCTTGCGGTTCACAAAGAATCCAAACGTGGTACATCTAGCTCGTACAGTTACAAAGATAATGCAGTTTTGGGATTATATGATTATATAACAAGCTGATAAATTAAAGAAGGACTTATCCAACTGTAATTAAGCTTTGGAGTATTTATCAGGACATGATATAACATAACATTTAACAACTAAACTTAACATAAGATAATAAGGCACATCCTGTGGTGCTGTCTTATTGTTCATTCATAAGTTCAGTTGTTAAGTTCAGTTGCTGCATGCCACAGGAAATGAGGGGTCAGCAGAGCAATACGTTAAGCCCAGGGCACTTCATTGCGCCTGGCCATTTGTTAAGGTCTGAGTGGTTGAATGTTTTTCTTTGTCTTCCCCCAAAAGCTTCTTTGTGTTACGATGTTTTGCAGCTCTGATAGGTGTGATAAGGGAATTCCTAAGGGAGCTCTGCTTCCTCACTCCTCTGAGTCTGCAGAGCTGATTTACATGGCCCTGTGACCTGCAGGACAGTTCTGTCTTTTATGGCATGTGACTTGGGTGCTGGAAAGTTCAAGTTTCAAGTTTTTTGAATCCTTTTGGGCATCTGTGTCTGTCCATATCCTACAGTCTCTAAGTGTAGCCCTGTGATAGACTGGTTACCTGTCCAGGTGAACCTGCCTTCACCCTGAGTCAGCTGGGATAGACTCCGCCCCCCATGACCCGAGTGAGGATTAAGCAGTTTATAGATAGTGGATGGATGGAATACCTACGGTAGCAGCACCTCTCTCAGAATGTTCAGAAGGATGAGCAGGTGTCCAGGTCCAGAAGGTTCAGGCTCAGAGTTCCTGACGCAGTAGCAGGGGTTCAGCTCTTCCTGTGTCTCTTCAGCTGTCTCTAATGAACCAGCTGACCTGCGTTCTCGGATCACATAGACAGGTTTTAGAAGATGACAGTAGATGCGTCAGAGCATTATGTTTAGCTTTGCTCCTTAACGTTTCCTGCCCTCTGTTTCATCACCAGAGCCTTGGCTCCTAAAGAAAATCACTGGAATGTAACTTGGGCTTTTTCTTAGTTTTCTAGAATGGGGGAGTTTCAGATTCTGGGCTCTTTGTTCTTCATGCTGGGTTCTTAGTTCTTCTGTTCCTACTCAGTGTTTTTCTTGCTCAGTATCAGGTTAACTTTCACAGTGCAACAGCTCAAACAGTGACTATGAGCTCTGACTCGGTGGATTTACTTTAGCACACTTTTTTTACACGACCATGCAAAGGTGGCATCTGGTTTCTGCCTTTCTGAACCAACTCATCAAGAAGATCTTTACACATCTTTACTTTGCTCCAGCCCTCCACCAGGCATCACTTCCTCTCTGCTCAACAGGTGAGTTTAGACACTACGACCTCCTCTGTTCAGCGGCAGCCTCTCCTTCCTCTCCTTCGTCCCTCCTGTGGGCGAGGAGTGTGTGTGGAGTGTGTGCAGGTACAGCTCAGTGGATAATCACCTGATCATGGACACCTGCAGCAGGGAGTGGCTCACCTGCAACTCATCACCTGCCTGACAACAGCTGAGCTCAGACCCCCCCTCGACACCGGACCGCTGAACCGGGCCAGCGCTCTCATATTTGTTTGATCTGCTGCGGAGCAGGTTAGTCGCTCAGCTCATTTACCATGGTGATGTACCCGGTAAGCAGAGGACCACCGCCGTAGGAGTTCACCTGAAGCTACCTGGCTAGCCCCAGGTCCTGCTTCAGGCCCGTATCTAAAGGAACAGCTGCATTTTCAATGTTCACTGGAACAACAAAAAACACAATTCAAATTTAAATAAAACTAAAAAATGAAATTTCAATAGAAACGTTTGTCCTGTGGTAAAGTTTACTGAAATGCTTCCTGCTGGTTGTACGTTATACGTGTGTTGGTATTTACACTACGTGACCGTACACTGATGTAACAGCAGCTCTGAACCATCACACTTCCAGCTGACTGTAAACTGGTGACTGTCTCCACCAGGCTTCATCCGGTGACCTTCTGGAACAGCTGCCAGGTTTCACTGTGAAAGACTGAAAAGAAAGAAGAACAAAAAGCATCTTGTCTTCTGCTCTGAAATGTAAAATAATGATTAAAATGGTCCTGACCAGACTTCTGCTGTGACTGTATGAATGTTCATCACACGTTTTGTTGTGGTCTCTGGGGATGAGCCCACACCTCCTCTGTGTGACTCTGATCCACTGATTCTGAAAAACAGTTGTGGATCTCTGTTGTCTGAGGTCAGCGGTTAGTCCTCCTGCATCATCACTGTGTGCCATTCATTGTTTTAATATTAGACTGAGGAAACCGTGGATTACAGGCTAACTCTGGCCTGTTTCCCTCCTCCTGCTGACCCCGGGGTAGGGTTTGGGTCTCCCTGTGAGCTGCTCGCTGCTGAAGGAAGCTCAGGACGCTGCGGCTCTTCTTCTGCGCTCTCTGGAGCACATCTGCTGCCTCTGACCAGAGCTGTAACAAAGCTCAGAGCGCGTGCACGAGGGCGGAGAGGGGAAGGGGCGCGAGAGCCGGGGGAGGATGATGTCATAGGTTTGGGAAAGCAGATGGCTGCGGCGCCTCCTTCCTCCAGCGCCGCTCCAGCCTCCTTCCCAACAGCAGCCTGAGCATCAGGACTCCTGGAGGGCACCGAGCGACGCGGCGCAGACGCAGGCAGCGTTCAGGGAGGCTGGAGGGAAGCGGCGGCGGGCCACACAGGACCATCAATCCGCGGACGGCTCGATGAAAGACGCGAAATGAGCCGAAATACCGGAGCGAGCTCGGTTCGGGTCCTGATTGTGTATTATGAGCAGACGACAGTGTGGAGGAGCTAGTCCTGCCCAGAAAGGAGGAGGAGTAGCAGAAACACGCAAAAGGGTGTCGACGGAGAGGCAGGGTGGAGGACCGCGGAGGGAGGATAAATAATAGAGCAGCCAGCATCTCCACAGTCTGATCATGGCGGCCAAGTCGGACGGGGTGCTGAAGATGAAGAAGAGCGACGTGGCCTTCACCCCCCTGCAGAACTCGGAGCACTCAGGCTCGGTGCAGGGGCTCCACCCGGGCGGCCAGCCCGACTCTGCGGGCACCGGGGACGGTGACTTTGCTAACGGGGAGTCGCGGTGCTGCGGCGGCGGAGGCTCCAACTCGACGTGCCTTCGGCTGGGCAGGGAGCAGCAGAAGTACACGGTGTGGGACGGCTTGTGGATCGTGGCGGCCGTGGCCGTGTATCTGGCAGATGTGGGCACCGACGTGTGGCTGTCGGTGGACTACTTCCTCCGCCGCGACTACTGGTGGTTCGGCCTGACGCTGTTCTTCGTGGTGCTGGGCTCCTTCTCGGTGCAGCTCTTTAGCTTCAGATGGTTCGTGCACGACTTCAGCACCGAGGACAGCGCCGACTCGTCCGCCGACTGCTCCCACATGGACGGGAACAAGCTGCTGAGCGGCTCGGCCTCGCACGGAGACGTTACCGCGCAGCATCACCCCGCCACGCCGCAGAGGCAGGCGTCGACCGCGAGCAGGAACACCACCACCAACAGCACCAACAGCACCGCGCTGGGCAACAGCAGCAAGAGACGGCCAGCCTACTACTCGTTCTGCGTCTGGTTCGGCCAATCCGTTATCCACATCCTTCAGCTGGGCCAGATATGGAGGTAGGCTGCGGGCTGCGGGCTGCGGGCTGGCCTTGGGATGATTAGCAGGGATGCTGTGCCTGGATGTGCTTGTTAATGTGTGTGATGGAAAGAATGAATGAGGAGCAGAGACCTGCCCTGACCCACAGTCGGGCTGTTGGCAGCCCGGTGGCCTCTGGATGATGGAGCCAGCTGCTCCAGCATGGCTACCAGCTGCTATCTTCAGCCCGCCTCCCCTACACAGGGCCACGGCTGGGTTCTGTTATCCCGACCAGTGGGTCATGGAAGTGAGCACAAGCTGAACCACACTGTAGGTCTTGTGAATCCAGGGTCCTGGTCCAGGTCTGATCACACCGGGTGTCTTGTGACTGTGGTTCCTTGTCCCGTCATGGAGGAGAACTTCCATGGCTGGCCGGACAGTTTCAGGCTGTCAGGCTGAGTCACGGATCAGAATAAACCTTAACTCATGGCTGGACAATAGCTGGACCACAGTCCTTCATTAAATCTCTGTGGGTACGGAGATGGTTCTGGTCTATTATCAGACTGTTCAGTACCAGCGGGGGAAAACACACTTACATTCATGACTTTAGTAAAAGTCAGAAACACAAATGTTTAATCAGCTACTTCAGTAGTTGTAACGTCACTTTGCTGAGGGAGGCTCTGTGACTCTTTAGACAGACACCATCCATCCAAACGGTTTGTATGTAAACAGCATTTTACTGCTAACGCTGATGGAGGTGCTGCTAATTATCTCCTCTGGGTGCTTCAGTCTGTAGCAGTAATTAGAACTGGTACAATATTTTCCCCTAAAAGAGAAATGTCTGAAAAGCAGTGTCCCCCTTAGTTCCTAGTTTCAAGTTCCTGTCAGTATGTGGTGGTGTTCATTTTCAAAATGAAGATACCATTTATGGAGAAACTGACATCATGCTGCCTGAGTACAGATATACAGTCTATGGGAATACTGAGGGCTGCACTACAAAGTGGGACTCGCAGGTTATCAGGCTTGTTGAGCTTAAAGCCAGAGTTTTCAGTGTGACGATGGTGGCTCTCTTTTAACCCGCTAGGTCTCCATGGTAACTGATACTGTGGAGCTAGGTCTCCACGGTAACTGATGCTGTGGAGCTAGGTCTCCATGGTAACTGATGCTGTGGAGCTGGGTCTCCATGGTAACTGATGCTGTGGAGCTAGGTCTCCATGGTAACTAATGCTGTGGAGCTAGGTCTCCGTGGTAACTGATGCCGTGGAGCTAGATCTCCATGGTAACTGATGCTGTGGAGCTTGGTCTCCATGGTAACTNGGACTGTGGGAGGAAGCCGGAGAACCCGGAGAGAACCCACGCTGCACGGGGAGAACATGGAGACTCCACGCAGAAAGATCCCGGGTGTCCTCACCAGGACGCCAACCGGCGACCTTCTAGCTGTGAGGCCACGGTGCTAACCACCGAGTCACCTGCAGCCATTTATTATTATTATTATTATTATTATCATTATTATTATTATTATCCAGAACCCAGGTGTAACTGTGAGCACTGAGCTGATCAGATCGTGACCCTGTAGGTGTGTTGTTCCGCCTGTGCTCATCATCTTTCCTTCCTGTGGCTGCTACACTCCACGGTGTGGAACATAACACACCCGACCATCGTAGCAGTTCAGGTCCTCATCTGGCTCCATTCCTGCATCAACACAGGAGATGACATCAGCCATAGAGGGAGCGTAAAACAAACTGTCCTCAGACACTTTGATCAGCTTCGTTTCTGTGCTCGACACACAAACAGCCAAAACAGCCCATTTACTTACAAAAAAAGACGTATTTTCACAACGTGTCTTCCTTTCCATAGAAGTCATAGATCCAAGGAACGTCCACCAAACAGGAAACCCTCCACAGGTGAGCTCTCCTTTCACTTAAATGGTAATTCTCCAAAAGGTGAGATTCAGACTTGTCATTCTTAATGTTCCTCCCTTTATCTCTGGGGCAGTTTTTCACAATTGTTTGTATGCTAGTAAGAAAATTCAGTCTTGGTCATGGTGTCAAACTCTTCCAATAAACTGCAGAACCAATACAACCAAAGCCACTGTAGGACGTCCTCACAGTCTCTCACTGCCATGTGGAGGCTTTCAGCATGTAGGCATCAGCGATTTTCAAACTGTTCTTGCAACAAATCTTCGGCCTTGACAGGTTTGCACACAGTCATGAGGCATGTGCTGACAGCTCCTCACAGGCTCCCGAGGCTGCCCCCTGGTGGCCTACTCAGAAAGCTACAGGCAGTCTTTAGACTTGTCTACAGTCTTAATTTACTGCAATGTTCAAAGGAAGGTCTGTTCCTGTAAAAATGTCAAAATATGTCTCATCTTGGAAAGGAAAAGGGGACTTTTGCTAAGTTAGCACAGATATAGTTTAATTCTGTTTTCCAGGATTATCAGGTGACACCATCCGTGTTACTTTGCATTTCGGGTGCAGGAGGATAACTCAGGACTGATCTGAGGACTCTGTTTTCAGCTTTATAGCATCTTTCCCCAGGTGGTTGATAACGTGAGTCAAAGCTGCAGCTCAGCATTTCTCCCCTGCATCCTTGCCGATGTGCAAACAGCTGGTCACCTGCAGCAGTGTCCAGTGATGGCGCTCCAGCTACCACCGGCACCGACAGGTCAGCATCAGCAGTCAATATCTGACTTATCCTTCACCTCTCCAGTTCATTCCATGTGATTTAGCAAGTACAGCACTTCACACTCACGAGCTTTCACAGGCTGATTTACTTCAGCTATTGATGCAGTCATGTTAGTCTGCAACTGAAGCTGCTCTTTTTAATCAGGTGCTCTTCTTTTAACAGCCAGCGGCCGTTTAGAAGGACTGCGATGTCCGTCTTAGACTTAATATGTAGAGCAAGTACTTGACATGGTGGACTTAGTTCTGGGCTGCAGGTGTCTCGGTGGCTAGCACCGTGGCCTCACAGCTAGGTCGCCGGTTGGCATCCCAGTGAGGACACCCGGGATCTTTCTGCGTGGAGTCTCCATGTTCTCCCCGTGCAGCGTGGGTTCTCTCCGGGTTCTCCGGCTTCCTCCCACAGTCC